GTGGAAAGTTCGTAGAACAAATACTTTAAAAATTTTAATTTTTTAAGATATCTTAGCATAAAACTAAGTCAAACTTCAATAAAATCACTTTTAATAGTCAACCTTTAGTCACAAAGTTGGTAGATATAATGTGTTAACTTTGCTATGAAAGTTGTTAGAGCAGTTTTTGTTGTTTCAGTATCGAGTTACAAATATTATAAGCCGTAAATTAGCTAAAAACATAATATTAACTTGAAGCACCTCTAAATCATCAATGATTTTGCTGAAAATTTGCACAGAAGTTCAAATTAACATGAAAAACAGTAATCATGGTTGATCCGGTGCACTCCGAACATTTCTGTTAAAATGAACAGGTCTAGTATACATGGAGGATTGAGTTCTGGAATCAATTTTGGATAGGTTGTTTGTAACCAAAATGTACAAAGTGTGTGAAGGATGTGTTTGTTTGAATCAATCAATTACTATGATTACTTGACTTGGATGGACTTGTTGGCTATGAAGGGGTGTCCTGGGGAAGTGATAGATCGTTAATCTTTCAAATTGAATAGAAATGTACTGATGGTTTCAATATTGGATGGTAAATAGATAATCTTTAAAAAATGACGAAGTTTGAAATTTACAGTAAGATAGATATGTTTAAGGTAGTTGCGGTAGTGCATGATGTACACTCACACCCACTACAGCATCAATGATAATCAATTCACTGACACATACAAAGGAGAGAAAAAAAAGCATTGACAGCTTTCACACCTGCGTAGGATATCGCACCGATTCATCAACACACATGGGCCGGGACCAACGGCTTTACCAACCGGTGAGCACTCGTGTTTATTTCAGTTACCGTGGGGACGTAATTTGTGATTAGTCCCGCTCCCTTTCAAATTGTATCATTATTAATGTATGGACCTTATATTTGAAATGACGTTTCACATTCATCTAGTGATGGCCGATTTCCATTCGATTAATCGAATAATCGATTAACGAACCGTTATAACTGATAACGCCGACATGCCGATATAAGCATTAACTTCTCCGGAGGTTAATCACCCATCGTTTCAAACATTTGCGGCACTCTCATTGGTGGAAAAATGACAGCACAGCAAACAAAAAATAATCGATTAGTTGTTAATCGAGTAGTTAAAAAGTGGGACATATAGTATTCTTCTTTGGCTTTAGTTCCCTTTCGAAGGAAGACATGACCAGAGATTTTTATGCCTTAGAAAAATCCCACCGACCTCGGCTGGGATTGAACCCAGACCCATTGGGATGAGAAAGCAGTCACGCTTACCACTACACCACCGGCTATGTACAATTTTGTTGCCAGAAATGATTTGGCAGCGTAAGGATGAATATTTTGAAAAGTTCTTCCAAATTGACTATTTGAATAACGCATTTAATAAATTACTCCGAAATAGTTATTTTTATTATTTTTGGCGTTGATGTTTTACCTGATCTTTTTTTTCGATTTTCTCTTTATAATGTACTTTGGCAGCCTTTCAGAAGCGATCAAAGTCATTGTTTACGTTTCGAGTTATACCCTTCAGACATGTTTCCTCTGATTTGGTTGTGGTTGTTTACATCTGTTTGGTGCTCCGAAGAAATTTGCAAATCGAGATCGAATTGTCGTATTTATTCAACTACGATTACAAGGTGAATTGCATTTTTTTACTTTCCTTTCGATAACATTAGCTACTGATGTAATATTTTCGTGTTTTTTGTAGTCAAGATTGAAGATGATTTTGACCCTCTGATTCTTCCTTTGGATTGTGATGACAGAGTAGGAAGCCCGAATGAACACAAAAATGAGCCTGTGAGGCTTGTCGGAAGACCAATTATATCGCTGTGCGGTTCATTATTCAAGCATAGGTTTGTTTGTGAAACATCCAGAAGCTTGATTGCATCACAAATCGTAAAGCCCATCATTTTCCATGAAGTTATTTTCATTGACGAATGTGGAAGTCGACATTTGAGGATTTGCAGAAATTTGTATTCGTGCAGAGCAGCAACCGAAGACGTATAAGCATCGATCAAATCGTTGGCAAACTTTTGATAAACTGATGAGCGAAAGATATACGAGTGCACGTTCACATTTAGTCCAAGGCGGTTTCGTGCAAGCAACTATGGGATTTGGTGGACAAACAATTGGTGAGATTCCAGGATACCGATCGAGCGGGTGCTCCCGATAATTGCATGGAAAACAATAATTTACCGGTCACGCTAGCTCGTGGAAGCTGTGGGCAAATTACATCCACATGGCTGCATCACACGAACGGGAACGAAGAATGTCGGAGCTACCTCACCTTTCCATTATTAAGTTCTTCAGAACTGTTCCTATTTCGGAAGCTGTGAAGCTGGAGAGTACCCGCAATGTACTATCTGTTGTCAACACCATCAATGACGGATTTTTCTTCAGAGCTCTCAGTGTTGGAAGAAGAAATCGACCAATTGATTGCACTGGGACAAACGATAAAACATCGCTTTAGAGCACTACGTTCTCGATCGTCAATCAATTGAAGTTTAGGTCTATCAGACCAGAGGAGAATGAAATTAGCCATTCACTTGCGGACAACGTTTCGGATATGAATGATATTGATCATTTGTGAATCATTAACTCGTGATGTTTGTGCCTGAACTGTTTTATTAAAAAAGAAACAAAGCCTTTTACTCTCATTTTGTTAAAATTACTCTTCTTCGTTATAAGTCAGCTGTTCATTAGTTTGCGGAAATCCTACTGACGGATCGAAGACTCCACACGGTGAATATCCACAGTGTTGATAGATTTTGCTGCACTCACAATTCTCCAGCGCTATAAAAGTTTCCAGCGCCAAATGGGTTAGGTTCTTGTTCCGATTCTCTACATATACCTTTCTGATTCGTGATTTCATCATGCCGAACATCAATTCTACGGGGTTGAAAAATGGACAATAGGCGTACTGGGATGATACCTATGGAACGGAGATACAAAATGATGTTGGCATTATAATGGATGCGACCCTATCCATTATCCAAACAGAGTTTTTCCCCGGATATTGAAATTCTTTTTCGTTTTTCAGAGCAAATTAACGGCAAAAATCAAAACCTTCTGTTTCAAAACAATCCAATACGCCATGCAAACCCAGAAAGCATAAAAATGGAGCCCTTTTTTTTTCCTTGATTTGTTTTCCGTGCTGAGAACCAATGCTACCGACGCCAGGGAGGCAACTTCCACACCTGAACCCTATCGACCTATGAACTCATGAACCGGGAACCACTTCCGTTCCGAAGGAAGGCGTGATCTGAGATTTTAGCCTAAGAAAATCCTGGCAGACCCAACTGGGATGGAACCCAGGCCTGCTGGGTTGAGAGGTAATCACGCTTACCACTACACCACCGGCGCCGCTAAATGAAGCCCTTGGACGACGCACAAATTCACCATTAAATACTAATCGTTTCCCTTTGATCCCATAGCCACGATTCCTCAAGATGCTTCTGTTGTCTGCTGAATGATACTCATTTCCGGAAAGAAACAAAGAATTTCAATCTATTTGATTTGGATGGCTCTGCGTTCTAATGTCTTTCTCGTCAATCCTTTTTTTTTTTTTTTTTTTCCTTTGGTTTGTTTTTTCCGTCGATCTTGTTTTCCGTGCTGAGCACCAATGCTACCGACGTGCCAGGAAGACAGCTCCCACACCTGGACCCTACCTATCGACCCATCAACTCATGAACCGGGGACCAACGGCTTTACTTCCCATCCGAAGGAAGGCGTGATCAGAGATGTTATGCCTCAGAACATCCCGGCGGCGCCGACTGGGATTGAACCCAGACCTGCTGGGGTGAGAGGTAATCACGCTTACCACTACACCACCGACGCCGCTGCTCGTCAATCCTTTGGCATGCAAAATTCTGCAAACAGACGATCCACTTACTTTGATCTGGAATCGTCGGTAGAAAAGATCATTGCATTCCTCAAGGTAGAGAATCGGGTTCTGGATAATAGAGCTGCAAAATCCATTGTCGATGACGTGCTCTGAATTGCCTGAATACTTGCTCCCATTGCTTAGAAGAAAGAAATCTGTTTTCTCCGTATGAAGTTATCCAGCCACTGATCGTTGTTTTAGAGTTGGTTGGAAATGCTAACATGAGGCTTTAGTGTGATAATTTATTAGCTAGAGAATCCCGAGGAAATAGTAGCAATGAAGACAATGGTACTTAGTATTCATAATGGCTCTGTTTTCCCAACATTTTGAAGAATTACGTTGGCCATGTTCCACAAAACCGATGAAAGACGAAAAGATAATGAAAAGCAAAACAGATGACATACGTCGTGATGAAAGGAACGCGTGCCAAAATTGACAGATTGCATAGTTGCACATTTAAATTGTGCAGTCCATTTAAGGGAAAAGTGCGCAATACCTTAATGACCGAAATCATTAAGAACAAAGGAGGAGCTATCAAGTAAATACTAAAGACTCAACAGTTCATAAAATTGAATTTCTTTTACTTTTCTAACAGTGCGGCTAAACACTTGTTTTAGCTTGAAAAGAGAAATAAAATAACGAAAAGCCGAAGCGGTATGAATTTAATTTTAAAGAGAAATATAGCAATATGTCGGTGCGGCTAAACGAATATATTGCACCGTGTATGTTTTGGCGTTGTTCATTATTATTACAGTTGTTTTTGCATCAGGGGATGAAATACCAACATAACATGCATAAGCATGCTATAAATTGATGTTTTGAGAGGTTTTTTGAGTTTTAAGCTGGAATGAATTTTTGGCGTTCTGAATATTAAAAATTATTAATAATTATTATTCCTTTTGCTGGTCAGTTCGCTTTCTCGCCTACACTCTGCCAGAGGCCTCAGAAGGGTGCAATGAATGCGATTTGAGAATGATTTCCGACCACTGCAGATTTTTTCAATACATCAGTTCTACAAACCCCTCCCCCAGACCGAAATCCTGGCTTGGTCCCTGTTCCCGATTGGTAGTTTTTAATTCTAACATTTTTTACATTTAATTTCAGGTCTCCAATCGCTGTGGATGACTAGGCTCTGCAGTCCTTGGGATTACAGTCAGCACGACGAGTATCCAGCGGACGGATTTGCTGAATTTCTGCATCCGTCACCCCTCGACAGCAAAGGTAATTTGTTCCTCCATCAACCTATTTAAATATCATGATTATGTCAGAGAAACTGTGTTTCCTCCCGACAAAGATGCATAAAAACAATCAAAACTAATCACTTATTCACTTTGCGTCTTTCCCAAAAACTCATGATGGAAATGCTTCTTCCTTCAGGCATCAAAAGCCTTCCGCATATCAATTGTTTCACGTAGTTGGATATTTGTATTGTTGAATGTTGGAACTGAATACAACTAAATAACAGTGTGTGCGAACAACTACCTTTTCCATCCTATAGCCAGTTGATAGGAAGCCATCGTGAATAGCTCATTCAATGTGGTTTACTTCATTTCACTCTCAATCGTACGTGGTTTATATTCTTATTCATCTTGTATATTACGTCAAAACTGAAACATAACGCCATCCCTCACCAACATATAATGTTATCACAGTTGTTAATTGAGGGGTTTCTATGCCTACACCATTTTCACATCTGAAAATTATGTTGGTGTAAAGGATAATTTATGCCCGGAATATCGAAAAACAAGATTCCTCGACCGGCTCGAGAATTTAACCTTCCTCCTCCGGCATGATATGCAACGCCTTTACTCACTAGGCTGTCGAGAGGTCCAAAATTGGCGCCCGGTGTACCTATGACAGGAAAAACTTGGTCCGGGAAATAAGTAATAATTTATTCTGTGTCGAACGCAGTTAGAATATCAAACAAGTTTCATTGTTTGAAATGAGTAAGGCTTATTGATAGAATACGAAACGTTCCATCCATCTACTTTCTCTTTAAAAATAGGAACGTCAATGTAACAATAAACACATTTATAGTAAGTACCGTTTGTGTCGTATTTTCCGGTCGACACATTAATCGAATTCCCGTTTAATGTGAATTTCGTGAAAGGAATGATAGCGACTGTCTTCGAAGCGAAGCCGGAAAATACTCAGACGAGCGGAAAGAAGAGCGTGCAGAGCTGTCAATTTTATTCTCACCTCATAGATCTTTATTCCGAAATGGTACGTGTCAAATTGTGTGAACGAGGCATGGAGAATACTGGTTCCTTTCTATTACTTGCAAATCAGACCTTTCAGCGACTCAATGTTTGCGTGGGTCATGCTGATAGATTTTGCTTCAGGATGAGATGACGAATGTTTACTCCACGAGAAAATGTCAATCAACGTCACTCCATGTAGTTCTCTAATCTACTTTTCGCTGTTCGAGAGCCACTTGATGTTTCTTCAGAGCACTTTGTGATTTGAATGAATTGTTTTATTTCAAGTCTTTTATAGACTTCTTTATCGGATCTCACAGAGAATGAACTCGTGTTGAGAGTAATTCCAGGAACAAAATGTCACAATAAATTGGATGGCGAGATAATCAGCTCAACACTTCCAGTAAACTCGATTTGTAGTCTACGTTATTTTTGCTCTCCCTTTTATCATTACAGGAAAGTTTTAATATGCTGATCAAGTTACAACTTTGGCAATTTAAAATAAATGAGAGTAGTTTTCTGCCACGAAATGGCGAGAGGATATGAATATCATAATTAAGACAATTTTGAAATTCCTTGTGCAGCACAAGCACAATATTCACTACCGAGTACCGAAAATATGCATGTTCTATATTTATTTAATACCTACTTGCTGATGATGCTTCCTTCGCCTGCTTCTATATTCATCTTCTATGACTCTGTAGTCAAAGTTTAGTGGAAATGGCTTCGCGCTGATGTTCGCCTTTCACTTGCTTTAGCTTCTTCAACTGTATTTATATATATATAGGCGTATGGCGGAACAGCTGAGAAGTGATTAAGTGATTAAATTTGTGTAAAGCTCCCATCCTTTGCATCCACAGTATGAAAAGCGCAAGATCTTAGGAGAAACTGAAATTGAAAAGTTCATAAAGAAACTGCATGAATTTGCGAGCATTGCAGTAATTACGTGAATATTGATTCGCTGTATTCAATCGTGAATATCCATTGTGTTATTTTGAGCTATTCTTGGCATAAACATCGGAATCATCAACAACGTTGCTTGCAATATTGAGCATGAGCTTGCATTGATGTGCATGAGATCAGTAATTTTAGGAATGATAAAGATGGCTCCATTATTGTTGAGTGTGCAGCAGGAGCAAACGTAAGTGATGTAAAAAATGGTATTGAAAGCAATCTGGGTGAAAAATATAATGCTGTTGTTCCCACTTCGGTGCCAAGATTGAAAATAGTGGGCATGAGCGATCAGTTTTCCTCCGATGTCTTTATTGACTACTTAAAAAGTCAAAATGAAGACATCGCTATTAATGATGTAAAAGTAGTGAACATGTTTGAAAATCCACGCTTCACTTATAACAAGTTTAGTGTTGTAATTGAAGTCGATGTCGATACTTATAAATGTTTGTTATATGCGAAAAAAGTAAATGTAGGGTTTGATCGGTGCTCGATAGTTCCCGCGATTAATGTGTTGAGATGCTTCAAATGTGGAGAATTTGGGCACAAGAGCATGGATTGCAAAAATTGTGATAGATGCTCTAGGTGCAGCCAACAACACAAAACGTCAGAGTGTACGTCAACTGTATTGAAATGTATTAATTGTTTGAAAATGAATAAAGAACGAAAAATGAACTTGGACGTCAACCATGCCGCATTTAGCTCGGAATGTTTGCTCTATAAAAGACTTTTTGATCAGAAGAAAAGCAGCTTGCGTTTCAATAAATAGCAGCCAAGTTCCAGGAATGTGAATCAATTCGATTTTTTATACTTGAATATTGCGGGGTTGTCAACAAACTACGTAGCATTACGTCAGATTGTTGAGGAAAAACGTCCTCTTTTAGTTTTATTATCTGAAACTCATATTGTAGAAACTGAAGCTTTTGATCAGCATAGTATTCCGGGATATATTGTTGCTGCTTGTTTATCACATTCTAGACACACTGGCGGTGTTGCTATTTATGTCAAAGAATCAGTTCAATTCAACCTTCTTACCAACGAAGTTATTGATGGCAACTGGTTCTTGGGCATTACAGTTGTACGTGGCATGAAAATGGGTAATTATGGTGTTTTGTATCATTCTCCCAGTTCTAGTGACCAGCGTTTTGTTGAAGTTTTAGAGAACTGGCTCGAGACATTCCTTGATTCTAGTAAATTAAATATGTTGGCTGGTGATTTTAATATTAATTGGCATGATAACCATAATTCGAATCATTTGAAGCGTTTAGCTGAGTTTTTTAATTTAAAGCAAACGGTAAATGAATATACGCGTATTTCCAGGCACAGTAGAACTTTAATTGATCCATTTTTTCAGTTACGGATACTGATTTGAAAATAACCGATCATGAGACTTTAGTGATTAATGTCTTAGACCATGTTAACGATAACGATATTTTTTTTAAATTGAAGTGCTGGAGGAAATATTCGAAGCAAGCTGTTTCAAACCTTGTTGAGAGAAGCCTGGATTTTCTATTCGCGGACGGTAACTTAGTTGAATCTACAGCTGTTCTTAATAACGCTTTGAAAACGTGTACCAATCAACTAGTTGAGCAAAAGATTGTTTCTTTGAAAAACTCGAACAGCTGGTACAATTTGGATCTTTTGCGTCTTAAACGGAAAAGGGACAAATTGTACAAAAAGTTTTGTAGATCTAATAATGACAATCATTGGACTAGGTACACAATCGCGCGTAATAAGTATTCACAATCGATAAAGAAAACTCGTTGTGAATATGTTCAAAGGAAGATTGATCAGCATCAAAACAACAGCAAAGAGTTATGGAAAATTTTGAAATCTTCATTAAAACCTAGTAATTGCAAACCGCGGTCCATAACTTTTAATGGCACATTAGAACAGTCAGAACAAGTAATTGCATCTAAGTTTAATGATTATTTCGTAGACAGTGTTTCATTGATTAATCAATCTATTGAATTGGTCGATGAACCTGACGAAATAAAACAGCCAGTTAATAGTAGTTGCAGATTTGAAGTTTTTCACCCAATTACATTAGATGAACTTAGAGTTATTTGTTTTTCATTAGGAAAATCGGCTGTAGTAGATAATGTTAATGCTAGAGTTATTCAAGATTGCTTTCATGTCATTGGCCACATCTTTCTGGACCTTATTAATGAATCATTGCAGAATGGACATGTACCACAAATTTGGAAGGAATCCTCAGTGGTTCCTATTCAAAAAGTTGCTGGAACGATTAAAGCCGAAGAGTTTCGTCCCATCAACATGTTGCATACTTTAGATAAAATCTTAGAACTTGTTGTTAAAGGCCAGCTGTTGGAGTATTCGAATAGCAACTCTTTGTTGATACCAGAACAATCGGGATATCGGGAAGGGCATTATTGTGAAACTGCATTGAATTTGGTGTTAGCAAAGTGGAAAGACAACTTGGAGCGTGAAGATACGATTGTTGCTGTTTTTTTGGATCTGAAACGCGCTTTTGAAACAATTTCTAGGCCCTTACTGTTAAGTACAATCAAGCGCTTTGGAATTACGAGTACTGCATATAAATGGTTTGAAAGCTATTTGTCTGACAGAACTCAACGGACTGTTTTTAATGATTCTGTTTCCAGTCCCGTGGGGAACAACCTTGGAGTGCCCCAGGGAAGTGTATTAGGGCCTCTTTTATTTATTATGTATAGTAATGACTTGCAACGCGTTTTACGGTTTTGCGACATTAATCTTTTTGCAGATGATACTGTGTTATTCATTGCAGCTAAGGATTTAGAAGTTGCCGTCTCACACTTGAATGAAGATTTGCAGTATCTAAGTAGATGGTTGAAGTGTAAGCAGTTAAAATTGAATACAAGTAAAACTAAATTTATGGTGATTTCGCGGAATCGATTAAATTAGAACGTCTCTGTTGTAATTGATGATGAGACTATTGATCGTGCTCAGGAGAATAAATATCTTGGCGTGATTATTGATGACAAACTTAAGTTCAACTCTCACATTGACAATGTCATCAAGAAAATTGCCAAGAAGTATGGAATACTATGTCGATTGAAAAACGATTTAACT